CAAATGTCATGAACGTCAGTATAAGTTTCGATATTCATTTTTTATATGTTTCCAAATTTAAAACAATTATATATTGGTTTCAAAAGTCCGATTTACGGAATAAATCACCATGATAATATCGATGTAGTTACGCCATTTTTTATATATTTAAGCAAATAATTAAATATATAAGCGAATGTAAAGTATTAAAGAAATTATCTTTTCTTTTCTCGCAACTGATGCAAATGTTATCGCAATAAAACTTCTCATTTATCGTTACACTACATTTATGCTTACTTCTATAATCTTTTCCCGTATATTATTAATCACTTTTATCTCTAAACAATGGAATCATCTACAAAGTTGGACAAGGATTTAAAAGATCTCGGAAATATCGCTGATTAGACCTCTATTGAATTGTATAAAACAGCATGGAGAAGATCTCGGTTTTTAAAAATAAATATTTTTATTTCAAAATCATGGAATGGATATCGGAAAAAATATGCAATAGATAGAAACATGAAAGAGATCTCGGAAAAAGCCTAATTATAGTGACTATATATAATAGTATATATATATATAATAATAATAACAGGTTGTTTATTTAATATTGAAAGATCATCTTTATTAATACTTGATGAAACCTCTTGCCAAGTTCGACGAGACATGACAGAAAACAATAGAAAAAATAATATTTTGATTTTTATATGAGTTTTTAACGAAGATGTGTTATCTTTGAATAAATGAGTGAATAATGTGTTGTTCAAAAACTATTTATATTTGCCGTTTGTTCTTAAACTAATAGAACAATATGCTTGTCCTTAATAGCATCATCTGCTGGGATTATTTTTAGTTGTTGTGAATCGGCATAAATGATCTTACTGAACAATTTTCTTAATTGATGATCATGTTGATCAATTAAGGAAAACATAATCATCAATTAACAAAATTGTTCAATATGATCATCTATACCAATTCAGAACAACTAAAAATAAATCCGGCAGACGATGTTATTTTTTCTATATAGTCACTATAATTAGACTTTTTCCGAGATCTCTTTCATGTTTCTATCTGTTGCATATTTTTTCCGATATCCATTCCATTATTTATTTTACCCTTTTTGCTACAACTACTTTACTCTTCTATTTCAAATGTAATGATTTAACATACACAAACTACGAAAACAATCTACTATATATACAAAACGAGAACATGTAAGCTAATGAAAGTTCTGGGAGAAAGATGTAATATGCAGAGCATGTAATACAGAGATGATGAAACAGATAAGGTGATGATACTTTTAGAAGGATGATGCAACTCACCGAGCTCTAAGTATAATGTTCTAACGTTGAATCATCTTCTTAGGCCTTCCTGACCTAATGCCATCTTTAAAAAGATATCAGTGAGATGTTTATACCTCTGAAACTCGTCAGCGTTCATCTGATAAAAATGTCGTATTATCAGATGAACGTAGAAATGAATCTAAAATAACTCTTTTCGGATCAAGAAATTAGCCGTACAGTCGCATTTTTATTTCAATACTACTTCAAATAATTGAATACCTTACTTTTGAGACATCAAATACACATTAAAACACTCTTAAAACACTGAGGACGTCTTGCAAAAGAACGAAGCAACCTTGCGCATTTCTTCTGACCTCATGGATAATTTCCGATTGCTGCAATCTCGAAATTAGTAGGTATGGGTAGGTACCTACTCGTACCTACCGGCGCCAAAACTCGTAGGTACCTACTCGTACCTACACATACCTACCCATGCCTATATGTACAACAGCAGCAAAATAACAATAATTATGATGAGGACAAGCACTATAATATTCTTTATCAAACGAAATCAAATGTTGTTTGGTAACTCACTCTCGTGCTACAACCGCCACACCCCCCAATCCTAAGGGCCATGTAGATCGAACATCACTTAATAGTGTTGCTGCAACGTCAAGGCATGAGTAGGTACGCGTAGGTATGACCATACCTACTCATACCTACGTATGCATGGGTAGGTCGGGTGTACATAAAGAAATTAAAACAAAAAACTGTACAGAAAAAGATGCTACTGAATCAAAATGTGTATCAAACTCGGTTTATGATGCTCTCCTTCAAGATGCTGATAAATGTGCTCCTTTGCCAAATAATGTACAAATTGATTTGTGTACGAAACTCGGCAATGATACAATATTGATTAATTTTTATATTGCACGAAAATCACTCTTGTGTGAGTTCAGTTCAGCGAGTGAGTGAGCTACTTTAAGAGTTAGTTGTACTTCCTAAACACAGGTGAAACAAGATGAATACCAGCAGCGAAAACTCTTGTTAATAAACACATACAGGGCAATGTCGATGATCGAATAGTTCGAGCTCATGCCATTCACATGATAAGAGAACCATACCGACTACTACAAGATTTACAAATTGAAACTTATTTTCAAAACAATCCAGATCGTACACGTCACTTTCTCCAATCCTTCTTTGCTACCATTTCTCAATTAAATGCCATTGGGATTATCCACAATGATGAACATAGTGAAAATCTATTTTACAATTCTGATATGGTTGATGAAGAAGAGGCAGCAGTTCTATTTGTTGACTTTGCTCAGTCCAGTGTTCAATCGTACAATGGAGCTGACTTAGATCGAATACCGAATATACCAGCGACGATATTGAGTGTACTTGAACAGTGTAGTACACCATGTGCTACGGCCTTCGAGAGTTACACGAAATTGTTCAGAGATAATTCTGTACTTGATTTGAACTCGCTCATCAAACATCCGTTTCCTGATGAATACAGTTCCGACACCAAATTCTGCATTTAAGACATAAACCCCCCTCATGTGAAAACGTTCTCACGCAAGCCAACTCCCGACTCATAGACTAAAAACAAATCCTTCTTACTGACGATGGCTTTACATTTATCGGAAAAGTATAAAAGAAAAGTACATATGAAAGAGAAATTCTTCATCCTTTCGCTTGAAAGAGACCACCCTGCCGCTTCTGATGTAATCTAATGAAATATTTGATCCAGAACGACGACTACGGCAAGCCAAAGTGATGCATCTTGTCCTGAGAGCATACACACGTTGTTTGAAACAAGAACAAAAAACGAACTCGTCGACTGGCTGCACAGACACACGTATTGTTGACGCTAAATCATTAGCATAAAGAACAAAAAAAGTGCATCGGGTTGGGTAATGAACCCTTCTAAAGTCAATAAATAATCAAAAGTCTATTTCTGTCTCTCTCTCTTTCCCTCTCTTTGAAAATCAATTTCTTCAGAAGCTTCTTCGTGGGCCATTACAGAGAGAATGCAACTGTATAGCAGCAACTGGGATGCTTCACCCAAACGTCCACATGTGAGCGTTTCAAAAAGTCGACCAACTCCACGAGTTTTTCTAAACGAACAAAGGCTGGCAAAGGTTCCAAAGAAGAAGAAATGGTAAGAACATACTTATGTACGAGCATTTATTTTATATATATATTTATAAGTTCATTCAGTTCATCGTGGTGGCGAGCAATATCTATCACGTCGTTTCTCAAACGTCTCATTTTCGGGCTATTGGTGGGCGCTATTCCTCTTGCTGCTATGGCTACTTTATACGGCATGCATAAACAAACGACGACGAATTCTATTTCTACAGGTATGGCTCATTTTTTGACACATGTAAGGAACCCGGAATTGAATAGTAGCATGTATCTTAATGGGATAACTGAATATGCATCTTTTCTTCTACTTAGTTTCTCGTACGACTACTACACTGACGTCGACCACCTCCACGACGACAACGATAAGTGATCCCTGTAAGTGGACTGAACTAAGCGCACTGTTATTAAAAAGGAAATAAAATTGTCCAAATTATGACTACCTAATCATATTGCAGTATTCGGTGTCTTTCTATCTTACTTGAGGTCTTTCACGGTGGAATCAAACAGGCATTGTTGTCGCAGGCAATGGAACTGCGGGATCAGACTTGTTTCAGCTCAATGTTCCTTGGTCCTTATTTATTGACAGTGCTGACAACTTGTACATCGCCGATAGTTTTAATCATAGGATCGTTAAGTACCCACCTGGAGGTGGTGGAACTTATTCTATTGTGGCCGGTCTAACTGGCTCGCCTGGTACAAATGCAAGTCAATTGAACTATCCAAGGTCTGTAGCAGTGGATTCGAACCAAAATATTTGGATAGCAGATGCCAGCAATACTCGCATTCAGTATTTCCCTTCGGGCTCTCATGTGGGCACAAGAGTTGCAGGAACAGGTGCCTATGGTGTTACGTCTAGCGCTTTTGGTTACATGTATGCTTTGGCTCTCGATACAGTGCATAATCTTCTCTACATCTGTGACTATGCGAATAGTCGTGTCCTTATTTGGGATTCGACAGGCTCTTGGAACAGCAGCAGCTCTATTATCAATATTACCAAGCCACTTAGTGTGAAAGTAGATATGGCACGTGGAATGACGTACATCGTAAACTACGTTAACAGTTTAGTTTACGCTTTTCCCTTTGGATCTACTGTCGGTACTGCTTTGGTTGCTTCAGGCTTCACGATTGCCTATAATATTGGATTGGACAAGCGAGGTAATTTGTTTGCTGCCACGTTAACCGCTGATACTGTTCAGATGTTTTGTTTGAACACTGGAAATATAACTGGTGTTCCAGTTATGTCCAACTTCACAGGTGCCTGGGATGTGGCATTCGATTCTAATTACAATATGTATGTACTAGATCAAACGAACAACAGAGTTCTCAAGTTTAATCAACTTTGAATTATTTTTAGAATATCGAAACTTATACTGACGTTCATGACATTTGAGTAAAAAACATGCCGTTGTTGGAAGGTTTTAAGCTGGCTGTCAAGAAACAGCTGCGTATAAGAATCACAAGGTTACGTAGGTTAAGCTACATAGATAGCTAGAATTATGATGCCAGATGGGTATTTGTGTGAATTTTTAAAAGCTTTCCAACAACATATTTGAAAACTGCATTTGTTCTTACATCCTGCGATGAAGTTCAAGGCTAAAATAATGAAAAGTTTCAAAACTTTGAGCTTTTTAAAAAACACAAAACTGAATGTTTGGAAGTTCCTCTTGAAAAAACCAATTTCTCTCGCGCCTTCACACTATGCAGATGTTGCCCTTCACGGGAGTACCGAACCAAGGTTGTAAATGCCATCGATCGAGACTATGAGCACTGAACCTGTCTTGTTTGTTCTTCCTTCTACTAAACTATTACTTTAACTCTTGTCAAGCAGTATGTCAAGTGAGGGAAAGTCTTATTCAAAACATCTGTCAGAGGCCGGGTCGTCTTCTGCAAGGTGCTAAAAAGGATCATTGAGTCGAGCAATTCTGTTTAGTAAACATCTGACCTTCTCATGGACTTTTGATCGAGTTTTCGAGAAGAAATAGTCAAAATACAAAGTACCAGACAAAAGCCCCAGTTTGATAACTTTTCGCTTGTTTATTTCCTGGTCGTGTTTTCAAAGCTTTATTTAATAGAAAATCAATCCCACCACCAATACACCCCGTTTCATAAAAGTATGATTTGAGCTGAATATAGTTTTGTTTTGTGCCAGTTTTAATATCGATCGGCGGGAATCCATTTCCAGTTGACTCCAGGCAGTGCACTAGATCGACGATAAGGACGAACATCTCTTATCGATATTGGTGGTACATGAGGCCAATATTCTTGAACATACTCAGGTTCGTACTGTTGTTGTTGAACGCTTTGAACAATCCACGTATCGCTGAAGCTCGGCCCCGTCGTATTTACCAACGGAATATTATTATTTTGTGCATAAAAACAGAATACTGGACGGATCTACAAATGACATTATAATGTGCATTGGATCGGGGAACGTTATAAAAAATAAGGAGAGAACATACTACTGGTGCAGATGCAGGTGGCATTGGCCTCGGTACGGGAGCCGGTCGTGGGCCGAAGTTGTGGCGATGTGGAGTTCTTCGAACTGTATAGATGCGTTCGGGCATCATCAGTGTTTCACTTGTCAAATACTCATAGGGCATGTAGCAGTAACCATGATCACCCTAAATTGACTCGTTCTTTTCCTGTTCCTCATGTTACCTTACACTACTTACAAAGTGTTTACCCCATGAATTTCGAACGATAAACGTTTGTTTGGCATCATCGTATCCAACAGCAAGCATCGCGTGACTAGAGCGAGAAAAGAAGAAGAAGAGTTTTCCTTTTCTCTGCTAACTTGCAATACGAAACTCTTGAAGGTAGTAGTTTTGCTGCGTTACTTAATGGCAGCTAGAAACAAAAAAGTGAATAAATTTTTGCACACATTTAAGTTTGAAACGAACAAAAAAATCGAGTGAAATTCAACATGTACGTCTTATTTTTCCAGATCAAAAGTAAAGGATAGATTTCTAGCTTAGAAGATGTGAGTATAATAAATAACAAACAGCTCAATGCACGTTTCTCGAGAGCAAATTAGTTTGCAAATTAGTGAAATACTATCATTTCATTCTACACGACGAGTTCTCTGTGAGGAAACGTTTAATGCGAGCGACGATAACGTGATTCCATCAAGAATCTCACGGATTTAAGAAAATAGAAAAAGAAAAAAATGCTTTCATCCCGACAAAGGTTTGATGATAAATGCCTTTCTTCAGTTGGAACTTCACTATTTCATCACAGCCTTACAAAATCGCACCAGATATAGTCGGAAGAAATGTTCAAAGCGCTTTCTGTTTTCATTTTTACAAAGGTGAGAACTCAGAAGTGGTCCTAAAACGATCAAAATTTATACATATAGAATCAGTCGTATAAATTATGGCATCTGTTGTTTTTTTTCTTAAACCCAGACAAAAGAAAAAAATCTTCTTTTCAAATTGGGTACTAGTAGTATTTAACTTCCCATATCGTCTGCAGTGTTGTAAAAGAATTCTTAAGCATGTTAGATGAAAAAGATCTATGCAAACAAAGTTCTCCTTGCTCTCTCTGAATATCTTCAATCTTACATTCCATGGCTTGATGCTACGTTGTCAGAAGGGTCAGGCAAAGATATAATACCAGTAGGACCAGTATTTTGAAATGATTCGAAAGTTTTACAACTAAATACGAATGGGAAGCCTTGCGCTAGACACGATTTCATATCATGTAAATCTTTTTCAACATAGTAGGCTTCCTTTATTTTGAAGCGTTGTGCATGTGCATAAGCACGACGATTTGGTTTTGTATTCACTTCTTTTATATCGTAAGGCCAAATGGATTCGAGGCAAACGCCATACTCCATGAGTGCTTCAAGTGCATGTGTTATACAAACGCCTTCATCCTTGATAGTAGGTTCTTCTGATAGAGTGCGACCGTTGTAGTAAACAAAGAGACGGCTAACATCAATGTGTTGACCCGTTTCTCTCTTATGAAGATATTCATATGCACCCACGACAGCATTCGCCACACTAGAAAAAGGAAACGAAGAATTTCTTTTCTCTTTACAAAAGTATTCTGATTCTGATTGTGTCTCTTACCAACTACCAATTTGTGATTGATCTTCGACAGGTGTCATATAGGGTCGCAAATCTACTTGAGCAGGAGTTTTGCCAGTTTTATACATAACAAAAGGCGAAAATGCTTGTCGAAGCTCAGGCTTGTAAGGCAGTCGAGTCGATGCCCTATATCCATTTGTTCGTACAGTTCGATTGTTTCGACTGTCGAACATCGTTGGTACGACGCGTTGCTCGAGCTGAATGAAGAAGAAAATACTTTCCCATTGTTTTTAACATATGAAAACGTCGATAAGAAAGTTATTACGTTGGTGGGCAGTGCTAAAAAGAAGGCAGACAAGCAGTGATCTGATTTCCTTACATAAATATTCAAGACGAAAAACATCGCGCAAGTTTTCTCCTATTTTGTCAACCTTTTTTCGACCAACAACTTTCTTCCCTTCCTTTAGCTATTCGACTGACGATCACCCTTCGACTTTATAACTTTCTCGTACTTCATTCGACTCTCACTTTAGTTTCCCTCTTGGGGAGTATCTTCTTCCTCACCCCCATCACTTACTTGCTTCGAGTTTTTGCTTAGCGACATCGTTTGATGGATAGAAAGCAGTTGTCACGAGGAGTAATCGACGTATAAGACAGAAATCTGAAACATATATAGAAATAGACATTAAGTAAGAGTGAAAAAAGAAACACATGGCCTGTTCGTTCATGAGATTTCGATTCGGTGTGCAGTGTGCTCGCTAAGAAAGAAAGAAGACATCAACTGCACACCTTTTTACCAAATTTTGTATGTATACACAAAACACTCAGCTTTTGTTCTTCTTGCGTGGATGCTACTGTGAAGGATACGTGCGAGAACATGCGTGGGTTCTTTTTTGCTGTCACTCTTTTGTCCATCGATCATGATGCATTGTGCTTACTTCAAATTCTTCGCGATAGAGCAGAAGAAAACGATTTCACATCTATTACCTGTAAGGCTCATAGGACTAAAGAGAAGAAAAAAAAGGTGAACACATTAAAGCCACTCATCTACTGGGGAACATCTATAGGATACTAATAGGTGAACTCGTAACTCATTGAGTTGTACTTAGAAAAAGCATAGAACAAATTGCTAGACGAATATAGTGCTAACTTCACCCACGTAATTATGGCATGTTTTCAATGAAAATAAATTACAGATAACTACAAACGATTAAAACATTGATATACCATAGATTCATCAAGGAACACTGGAGTATAAAAACAAGTTCTATTATGTTCCGGTGACCTAAACTGTTGAAAAATGTGTATACTGAATGGAAAATTCCAACAAACTTGTTTTTTTTCGTTGTCTATATCTTGAAAAAAGTTCATAACAAGAAACGGAACTTATTTTCACTTTATTAGAATAAACATCTAACTCTCCGAATGATAAATATGTACACTAATCAATGATAACGAAGTTTTACGATGATTTTCTCGTGAAACTGGCATATAACGCGAGTTTTGACGTTAATATCAGCAACTACTCCGTTAAATGCCATTTTATTTTTACATGAGATCAATATCAATATCAATACCAATATTAATTTCAATACCAATACTAATACGAATATCAATATCAACAGAAACCCCCTAAGAGCGTATTAGTAATGGTGCATCCCTGCTAATATTACCGTTGTCTTGACCGTGTATTGAATATACTGAATAAAGTAAGTAAAGCTTATCCTGTATATGACTAAATGCATTTGTAGATCGTCTGTTTGTCTCCTGATAATGATTATTTGAGCTAATCGTATACTATTTTCGTATCATCTACAATTTTAAAAGCAAAGTAACGCATTTCTTAACCGCTACAGTGATTGAACAAATTAACTAGCGAAAAGTCAAGACCTCTATAAATCATGTGTGAGATGCGATAGGATTAAAACGAGGGAGAGGATCTAGGTCATTTATTTTTGAAGGCACAAATAAAACGATTTGAAAGGCAGTTCTAGACACTCTTGATAAAGCACCCGTTGAATTGATTCGAGGAAGAATGAACTAACGATAGTTCTAGCTCACGAATGCCTACAGCTTCTAATTCAGCTATATTGATCGTGATAGTTTTACTAAAAGTTTGAAAATTAGTTGATACGGTTGTTTCATCAGTTAGTTTAATATTTTTTGGTAGTGCTGGTGATGCTATATATATCTTCCCGGTGACTCAAGATGAACGAAATAAGTGCAACATTATTTGAATTTTCTTGTGAAAGAAAAACATACAGTTGTTGTCTTGGCTTTACGACAAAGAAAGAGTTCTCATGATCGTAAATAAACTTTTAAAAAGTGATAGAACGGCTCCCATACATCCTAACACTTCTAGTTACACCAGTGCAAATCACTCCTTGAAGTCTCTACCTATCACAATCTGAAAGTATCGAGTTATCGTACTTTGCAAACCGTTGGTTATCAAGCTTTGTAATTGGAGACGACATTAACACATAATGATCGCATTTTTCCTGATCGTCATGAACGGTTAATCCTATGATTTTATCGCAATAGACGTGTAACATTAGAAGGTTGGTCCAGGCTATCTCCGTCAGTTTACAAGCTACGAACTTTTCTTTTGGAACTTAAGGGTTTGAAACGATGCTCTTTTGTCTCTTGGACGTTTTTTCTAGGACCTTCAGAAATAAGGTTTCTAGAAAACCCTGGTTTTTGGTCCAAAATTCACTTTATAATACAGATTCAGAATCAGCGTGCAATGGCGGTCATTTTAAAAGAAAATTCGAGGTTCTAACTCAAAATTTAAAGTTTAAATTTTCCACTTTTTTTAAATTTCAAATAACTCCTCAACGATGAACCATAGAAACTTCGTTCAAACGCCATTAAATAGAGAACTAAATTCTAAACAAACGCAGGGGTTTGAGAAAGTTCACGCGAATCATTAAGAGAGAATGTATTCTCAAAACCTTTCAAAGTCCCACGTTTCAGCTATTGAAATTTTTACAAAATCGAGAAAATGCGCAGAAAAATTTTCTTTTAAATGTCAGTCGATGCAAAAATGAACGCTGAACAAAAC